GTACTTGTTGATTCTGTTGTTTGTTCAGTGGAACTTGTTGTTGATTCTGTCATTTGTTCAGTGGAACTTGTTGTTGATTCTGTCGTTTGTTCAGTGGAACTTGTTGTTGATTCTGTTAACCCTTCGATTGTAGTTGAAGTAAATGATTCAGTGCTAGACGTAGATGTAATTTCCGCGGAAGACGTTGTTTGTTCCGATGATATCGATGTTGTTTCTGTTGAAGTTCCTGTTGTAGATTCTTCCATGGATGTCGTAATTTCCGTTGACATTTCAGTAGAGGTTTGTGTTGTTAAACTCTCAGTCGATGAAGATTCTTGTGTTGCTTCTGATGTCGTAGATTGTGCGGGAGTATCATTACCAGATGGATTTGTTGACGAAGTACAATCTCTCACTGGATAAACTGATTCCGGATAATTACATACGCTTATACTAGGATCGAATATAGTACCCGGTGGGCAATTAAAGTGATAGACGTTAAATCCCTTTCCATTGTCAACGCAACGATAAAATTTGTCACAATACATTGGATGTGGATAAAATCCTTCTTCGTTACAAACTATTGTTTGATTAATTTTGGATGTCGTACAAGGAGGTACTCCTTGTTTATCACTATCGGATGATTCTGTGGTTGTTTCAGAAGGTGAAACTAACGAATCAGACGGGGAAGATGAAATAGAATATGGTGGTTCGGAAGACGATGAACTTTCAGTAGTTGATCCTGCAGGTAACTGCATATTTTCAGACTTAGTAGTTGAAGTTGCTGGCAAATAGGTTGAAGAGGGATTCATTGTCGCTTGTCCAGGCTTTTCATTAATAATTGATGTTGTCTCACTAGAACCAGTAGTAGAAAGAGAACTTTCTCCTGAACCTACTATTTCGTTATTATCTATCATACAGGAACTGACTTGCCCAATATGATTACATGTTTGTATACTTTGGTCCCAAGCTGTACCTGGACCGCATTTAAATTCGTATTTTTCAAATCCAGATTGATGACTGATACATCGATAAAATTTCCGGCAATCATTTGGATTTGGGTAAAAACCTTCTGTAGTACAATCCGACATGCCTAATTGTCCAGTATTTGATGGAGTAGTACTTGTTTGCTGTGATGCAGTTGCAGGTTGATCAACGTTATTTAATTGCGTAGTACTGACAGGAGGTAAATATGAGGCTGACGTAACTTGTGATGTTAATTCGGGGGAATTAGAAGTCATTTGTGTACTAGTAATTATTCCAGAAGTTGAGGGCGGTAAATAAGATGTAGATATCATAGTTATTGGAGTCATAGACGATGCCTCATTACTAATAGTAGTTGACATTGTAGTGGAAGCGACTAGTTGCGGTATTGTATTTTGCACAGGTTCGCCAGTACTTACTTGGGACTGTTCGCTTGTACTCGGACGACTAGTAGAATCTATTTCGTTAATTGAAGAGTCGGGCGTTGTCATGTCGAAACTGCCACTTTTACAGTCTGGTACATTGTATTCATGATTGCAGCTTTGTATTCTCGAATCCCAAACAGTTCCAACACCACAATCGAAATCATATTTCATGAATTTGTTGCCATCTTTTGCACATCGATAAAATTTACGACAATTCTGAGGGTCAGAGAAGAATCCTTCTTTGTTACATAAAGTTGTAGTATCTGACATAGTAGGAGTATCGAACATGCCAAGGTTTTCAGAAGTTTCTGAAGAATCAGTTGCGCCAGACGTATTTTGATCATTAGAAGTATTAGTCGTTACAACAGTTTCAGTAGTACTAGAAGTGCCAGGATCACTAGGTGAGCTAGGTGTTTTTGATGTTTCTTGTTCTTCTGGTCTCGTAGTAATCGAAGTTGTAACTGTATTTACTATAGTTGTTTCTGGAGGTAGATACGAAACAGATGTACTAGCAAGCGTTGTGCCTTGAATAGGTCTACTTGTATTTATTTCAGATTGTTCATCGGGGCTTGGGAAATTAGAAGAATTTATTTCGTTTATAGAAGAATCAAGTGTTGTCATTTCAACGTCGAGCCCACTTCTACAATTTGGTACGTTGTAAGCATGATTACAACTTTGAATATTGGAATCCCAGACAGTTCCTACACCACATTCAAAATCATATCTTATAAATGTGTTGCCTTCTTTTACACATCGATAGAATTTATGACAATTACGAGAATCAGGGAAAAATCCTTCTTCATTACATGAACTTGAAAAGTTTGATATAACAGAAGAATCAGTAGTGCTTAGGATACCAGAAGTTCCTGTAGTATGTGAAGTTCCAGATGTCCCTGAACTACCAGGAGAGCCAAAAGATCCAGGATATCCAGGTGACCCGGGATAGCCTTGTGAGCCAAGAGAGCCCGGAAATCCAGGAGAGCCAGGAGAACCCGGGGTTTCAGGAGAGTCAGGAGAGCCTGGGGATCCTGGATATCCAGGAGAGCCGGGAGTTCCAGGAGATCCGGGAAAGGCAGGATATCCAGAGGATCCTGAAGTACTAGGAGAACCAGGAGATCCTGGAGAGCCCGGGGATCCAGGGTAGCCTTGTGATCCTGGAGTGCCTGGGGATCCAGGAGAGCCATGAGATCCTGGAGAGCCCGCGGATCCAGGATAGCCTTGTGATCCTGGAGTGCCTGGGGATCCAGGAGAGCCAGGAGATCCTGGAGAGCCCGCGGATCCAGGATAGCCTTGTGATCCTGGAGTGCCTGGGGATCCAGGAGATCCAGCAGATCCAGGAGAGCCTGGGGATCCTGGATATTCCGGTGATCCAGGAAAGCCAGAAGTTCCGGGAGGGACGAGTGTTGTTGGAATTTTTGTGGTTTCTGGTTCCTCTGGTTTAGTAGTTATTGATGGTTTAACAGTATCTGTTACAGGTATTTCCGGTGGAAGATAAGATGCTAATGTACTTTCGGAGGATGTGCTTACTTCAGACTGTTCGCTTGTGCTCGGAGAACTAGATGAATCTATTTCGTTTAAAGAAGTATCAGGCATGGTTATACCACTACTACAATTCGGAACGTTATACTCATGATTACAACTTTGTATTGTGAAATCCCAAACTGTTCCGATACCGCACATAAAATCATATTTGATTAAGGCATTGCCATCTTTCACACATCTGTAGAATTTACGGCAATCATTATGATAAGGGAAGAATCCTTCTTTTTTACATAAATTTGAAGTACTTGATATACTAGACGTTTCAGTAGTGTCAGATGTGCTTGGTAACCAAATAGTATCTGTGTTTAAAGAAGATTCCGAAGTTACTGGTGTGCCAGAAGAATCAGGGAAGCTCGAAGACCCAGGTGTTTCAGGAAAGCTCGATGAACCAGGATATCCAGGAGAACCTGAAGAACTAGCAGATCCCGGATATTCAGGAGAGCCAGGTGATGCGGGAGTGCCCGGTGATCCAGGAGTGCCAGGTGATCCAGGAGTGCCAGGTGATCCAGGAGAACCCGGAGATCCAGCAGATCCTGAAGATCCTGGATATCCAGGTGAGCCTGGTAATCCAGGAGTGCCCGGTAATCCAGGAGTTCCCGGAGATCCCGGAGTGCTCGGAGATCCAGGAGATCCCGGAGATCCAGGAGAACCAATAGATCCTGGATATCCAGGAGTGCCCGGTGATCCAGGAGAGCCCGGAGATCCAGCAGATCCTGGAGATCCTGGATATCCAGGTGAGCCTGATAATCCAGGAGTGCCCGGTGATCCAGGAGAACCCGGAGATCCAGGAGTTCCCGAGGATCCCGGAGTGCCCGGTGATCCAGAAGTGCCCGGTGATCCAGGAGTTCCCGAAGATCCCGGAGTGCCAGGAGATCCAGCAGATCCTGTAGATCCTGGATATCCAGGAGTGCCCGGTGATCCAGCAGATCCTGGAGATCCTGGATATCCAGGAGTGCCAGGTGATCCAGAAGTGCCCGGTAATCCAGGAGTTCCCGAAGATCCCGGAGTGCCCGGAGATCCAGCAGATCCTGGAGATCCTGCAGATTCTGGAGATCCTGGATATCCAGGAGTGCCCGGTGATCCAGGAGAGCCCGAAGATCCTGCAGATCCTGGAGATCCTGGATATCCAGGTGTGCCTGGAAATCCAGGAGTACCCGGTGATCCAGGAGTACCCGGTGATCCAGGAGTGCCCGGTGATCCAGAAGTGCCCGGTGATCCAGGAGTTCCTGAAGATCCCGGAGTGCCCGGAGATCCAGCAGATCCTGGAGATCCTGGATATCCAGGAGTGCCCGGTGATCCAGGAGAGCCCAAAGATCCTGCAGATCCTGGAGATCCTGGATATCCAGGTGAGCCTGGAAATCCAGGAGTACCCGGTGATCCAGGGGTGCCTGGTGATCCAGAAGTGCCCGGTGATCCGGAAGTGCCCGGTGATCCAGGAGAGTCCGGAGATCCAGCAGATCCTGGAGATCCTGGATATCCAGGTGGGCCTGGAAATCCAGGAGTTCCCGGTGATCCAGGAGTGCCTGGTGATCCAGGAGAACCCGGAGATCCAGGAGTACCCGGAGATCCAGCAGATCCTGGAGATCCTGGATATCCAGGTGAGCCTGGTAATTCAGGAGTGCCCGGTGATCCAGGAGTTCCCGGTGATCCAGAAGTGCCCGGTGATCCGGAAGTGCCCGGTGATCCAGCAGATCCAGGGGTTTCAGGAGAACCAGCAGATCCTAAAGGTCCTGGGTATCCAGGTGAGGCTGGTGATCCAGGAGTGCCCGGAGATCCAGGAGTTCCTGGTAATTCAGGAGAACCCGGAGATCCAAGAGAACTAGATCCTTGAGATCCTGAAGAACCTACAGATTCAGGAGATCCAGGTGAGTTCGGGGATCCAGAAGAGCCCCGTACGTGGTAAGTTTACCTTCATACTTACAACTTGGTACGTTATAATCGTGATTACAACTTTGAATACTGGTATCCCAAGCAGTGCCCACGCTACATTCGAATTCATACTTTATGAATGTATTCCCATCTTTTACACATCTAAAGAACTGTCTGCAATTATGAGGGTCAGGGAAGAATCCTTCCTCGTTACATGATCCTGACATACTCTGACCACCAGAATTTTCAGCAGCGCTAGATATTCCCGAAGTTTCTGAATTTTCAGGCGTTCCGTGCATTTCAGAAGATTCAGGATATCCAGGTGATCCAGAAGATCCCGGAAAACCCGCTGATCCTGGAGATCCTGGATATCCAGGTGAGCCAGATGATCCAGCAGAGCCCGGGTATCCAGAAGATCCAGCAGATCCTGGAGATCCTGGATATCCAGGTGAGCCTGTTAATCCAGGAGTGCCCGGTGATCCAGGAGTGCCCGGTGATCCGGAAGTGCCCGGTGATCCAGGAGAACCCGGAGATTCAGCAGATCCTGGAGATCCCGGTGATCCAGGAGTACCCAGTGATCCAGGAGTTCCCGGAGATCCAGGAGTTCCTGGAGATCCCGGTGATCCAGGAGTGCCCGGAGATCCAGGAGTACCCGGAGATCCAGGAGTTCCCGGAGATCCAGGAGTGCCCGTTGTTCCAAGAGAGCCCGGTGATCCAGCAGATCCTGGAGATCCTGGATATCCAGGTGAGCCTGGTAATCCAGGAGTGCCCGGTGATCCAGGAGTTCCCGGAGATCCAGGAGTGCCCGGAGATCCAGGAGTTCCTGGAGATCCCGGTGATCCAGGAGTTCCCGGAGATCCAGGAGAGCCCGGAGATCCAGCAGATCCTGGAGATCCTGGATATCCAGGTGAGCCTGGTAATTCAGGAGTGCCCGGTGATCCGGAAGTGCCCGGTGATCCAGCAGATCCTGGAGATCCTGGATATCCAGGTGAGCCTGGTAATCCAGGAGAGCCCGGTGATTCAGGAGTTCCCGATGATCCAGGAGTACCTGGTAATCCAGGAGTGCCCGGAGATCCAGGAGATCCTGGATATCCAGGCGAGCCGGGATATCCTGTGGTTCCTGGATTTCCTGAAATTCCGGGAGTACCTGCTGTTCCTACATCACCATTCCAGCTTCCTCCGTTGCTGCCTGTTTCACCATTCCATTGTCCTTCATTGTTTCCTGTATCTCCATTCCATTGTCCACCATTATCTCCTATATCGCTATTCCATTGTCCGTTATCGTTATTTTCATCTTGTAATCCTTGTCGACAGTCATCTCTTGAAACTGCCGAAGCATAATTACACGCTTCTATCTTTGGATCCCAAACAGTTCCTACTCCGCAAATAAATTCATATTTTCGTAATACTCCATTGCCTTCATTTACACATCTATAAAATTTTTTACAGTCTTGTGGATCTGATAAAAATCCATCTGTAGTACATTGTACTTTTTGTTTGTCAGTCATGTCGTTTTGATTCGATCCAGATGTTGTCGTTGGTCGAATAGTTGTTGATAATTCAGTACTTATTTCTGTTCTTTTTGTGGTCGTTAAAACTTCGGTAGTTGTAGTAGGCTGTGTTGTAGTTATTGTTATCGATAAATTAGTTCCAATTGTTGTTTTCATTGTTGTCGTAAATGGAGAATAAGATGGATATGAATCTGTACTGGGATTTTGAATACCAGAAACAATTTCATTCTCAAATCCACCACATTCTGGTCGTCCACTGTCATTTGGATTTGTACATATGTCTCCTTTTTCTTTGGAGAATACTGTGCCAGTTCCACATTTGAACTTGAACGTCGTCAAAGGGCTACCATTACCCCAATCAACACATCTATAGTAAACATTGCAGTCATGTGGATCAGGATGATAACCTTCTTCTCTACAGGTGAAAGGAGTATTACTTTGTCTGTACTGATCTTCATAAATTTCATAGTGTTCTGAAACAAAATACTTGCATTATTTGATTATTTCAAATTTTATAGAATTTTTCAAATATCCTCAATGTTTTATCTTTTCATACAAATAATTTTTCATTAAAACAATTCGATTATTTATAATCCTAAATCCTTAGAACTTTGACATTTACTTTTCGTTTAATTTTCTTTTTTCTGAAAAAGTTTAATAAAAGAACAGAACTATGATTATCTCTTGAAAGTTTTACTGAGAACTCAGGATCTATGTTCTGCGGAAATAGATTAGATAGAATCGACACGGCACGTTGGCACCTTTCTTGTATCCAGTAGCTAAGGCATGCTGGATGCAATGCGTATTTTTCGCGTCTTCACCATACATCCAAGGTTGTGCGTCTCGGATGGAACCAGTTTGACGGCAAGAGAAACAACAACAACAGTGGCGATCAAGACGAGTAAAAGCAGAAATAGTAGGCAACTCGCTTGCGTTCAGCACCCATCTCACGTGTAACCCATCCAGGGCCGTAATTGGACATAGGTACTCAACGAGCGAGTCTTCTTCTTCGTAATAGCGAAATAAGAACCCTTAATGTTGGTCCAGTGATTAAAGGTTTATGCCGAAATCCTTAATTTAAATTCATTGAAGTTCGGACAATATTTTAACGCCTCGTTTAAAACAATTTGCATTCACAAAGAAGAAGGCTCGGTATTTTGCATTCTCTCTAAAGCGTTAAATTTATAAAATAATAAGTTGGCACGGTAATAGTTATAATAATTCCCAAAGATAGATTTGTGAATCGACTATAATCTCCCTAAATGATTTCTATTTAAAAAGATATATATTAATGATATGTTTGATGTCTTACCTGCTCCTACAAATGTTGTTAGAATCAAAGCTATCAAAATATGTAGAATTTGCCGTTTCGTCCACATTTTTCTGATTCAATCGAGCCTAAAACAAAAAGATTAAGAAATTAGTTACCTTTTTTGAATGAATATGCTGTTAAGCGGAAAGGTTCGAACGTGACATGTTAGTTATTCGTTTGGTCGACTTTTTTTCTAGGACGCTAGGTAAAAATTTCCTTAAAATAAGAATTTTACATAAAGAACTCTAGCGATAAGCATAAATACAGTTACTTCTACGTTTCGATTGGCAAGTCTCCAAGAAAAAAAAAGCTTCTCTCATGCGTTAAACGACATTGCCAGTCGAAGGATTGTAACTGTTGACTTGCGTGACCTTGTAAGTTGCCAGAATAATTCACTCGCATATCATCGACCATGCTACTGATAGGCTGAATCACGATTCGAAGTATCGAAGTGGTTAATTCCAGTGAATGATTTCGTGCCTCGTATTTTGAAATGTACGCGTTGGGCCGCGTGCGCGATCGTCAAATAACTATTTGAATAAATCATTGACATTATCTTTGTATGTACAGTTATATAAATGCCTATTGGACCTATTCGTGCTGATTTCTAGATACTCCTACTTAATAAAAATCATAAATTTGAAAATAAATGATCCTTCGCACGGAAAGATCCTGTTTGAATACTGTAAAGATATTGCTCGACGATCTTCGAAGATTGAATTTCGTTTTAGCTAGTTGGTTAAATGTTATTCGCCTGATCGAAATATCATCAATTCAAATTTACAAGAAAACTTTTTACTGCTTTGCCCCGAGGCAAATCTCAACGAGATCCGATCACGTTCTTAACGATCTTTCGATCTCGTTAATGAGCATTTCTCCGAAATTCCTGCTGCGATCGGCAGGAGCACGTACCTTTAGCAAGCACGAATTTTATTCTGATGCAAGTATCAACGGCGATATCGTGCAAGTGGACTTCGAGTCCGCAATTCTTGTTGTTTATCGAGATGGAAGTTACAGGAGAATGGTTCACCACCCCCGTATTTCCTTCTTGATTCACGATCTGCATCGGTACATCGGAAGAAATGAGAAGAGACATGCCACATGCAACGATTATCTAAACATTCCTTTTGAACTATTTGAAAACTATTTTGTCTTTTATATTTTTTATTCATACATACAATAAATACATATAATAAATCATATAATGCACGCTTATTTTAAATAAAAAACATATTAATATACAGAAATAATATATATGTATATATATATATATTTCTTTTTATATTACATCATTTTAATTTGCCAATTATTAAATGTAAATTTTGTTACTTCATGAAAAGTGGTATTAATTGATTATAATTGTTCATAGAAACGAGCTTTTATTATTTGAACTACTTCAAGATTAAAGCTATAAAATTTCGATTAGTGATAGGAATGGAGTGAGGGGAGGAGAAAGAAGCTCGCGTGTCTTGGAAGAAAATATAGCGATCAGAGAGAATCCCTGGGGTCTTTTTCTCTTCTTGTTGAGGTGTATATCGGTCCAAGTGAAATTAACTACGACATGTCGGTTTGCGGTTCCGAATCCGTAGGATGTAATTTGTTCTCCGTCTCCCTAGGTTGCCGCCAATGCGACTAGTTGCCGCGGGAGATGCAACAGAGAGTGCATTCGATCTACTACCATAAATACGCTCGACTATACTAGTGAAGAAACGAGATAAATCTTAGCAGTATCTTTCTTAACATTGCAACAATCGTTATCTACGATATTGCCTGTACTGTAATACAAAATGATTCTTTAAGTGAAAATACACTCATATATTTTTTAACGAACGAGTATCAAGTTTTATGTACAATATTTTCTTCTAATTTGATATTGAAAAAAAAAATATACAAAAGTATAAAAAAAATATCTTTTACTGAAGGAAGAAAATGATTCAAGACTTAATTGTGTTGCGGTATAATATAATTTTCATTGTAAAATCATTAAAAAATTCACTTGATTTAATTAACATATTAGATTACGAAATGTTCTTCTCTTTTTTTTTTTTAATATCTCATTTGTCTCTTTAGAAATCGGATGTAACTTAATCGTAAGAGTATAAAACCGGTTTTAATTTCACACTGTCGCTTGCATTCTTTGCCACTTTCGCGAGCATTTCTTGAATAAAGTCTTTCATAAAATTACATTTGTTATTTGGCACAGAATTTATTCTTAACGTAACCGTGACATTGGAAAGTGGTAATAGTATCTAGTAAACCGGTTCTAGATTCTATGTGTGCATATACATATAGATTCTAATTCCTATAACGTCTTCTTTTCTTTCTTTTCAGCTTTACTTTCTTATGTAATAGAGAGAACGCAAGGCGCTACTGTATAGATAGAATATTTAGAGATTATTGTTTTCCATCTATGGTATGCAGGAAAATGATTGCATCTATATATCTATGTAAACAACAGAAATCGAATAAATGAGGACCTAAATATCCTCTTTAAATTTTTCTTCTCTATCGCAATGTCCATTCTATTTAATCATCTTTAAATCCTACGATAATAGAAAAATATCTAACAAGTACAATTATATATTATATAAACAAATATTTTCCGATTTTTTAACGTTTTATAAAAAAGAAAAAAATTAAATTAATAAGAAGCTTTTATTTTTATTATATAATTCAGTATATATATATAAAGCTATTCCAAATTTTCTAAGGTGTCATAAAAAATAAAATAAATTAGAAGCTTTAAGGAAGTGTCTTACTTGGATTGGTCTTATTAACTAAAGTGTTCGTGAAGAAGATCGATATATCAATCGAGGGTACAAAGAACAAGGGTGGAACGACCGTGATAGGACCGTGCAATACGAGAAAGAGAGTGAAAGAGGAGCCGGTTAAAAGAACTCGAAAAAAAGAAGACCGTGCAACCTCGTTCTCTCTTCTGATTCTACCTTAAGATTGGGATGAAGGAACGAACTCAGAGATTGTGAGAGCACGCTGACGTAATCCAAGAATGCAAATTCAACGGTGTTTCCTGTAACATACTCGTGTTAGAGAGAAAGAGATAGAAGAATCCAAGGTTTCAACGATATTGCTATCGGCTCGGAGGTTCAATGTCAATGCTAATTCGCAAACTACTTTTACTTCGTTTGACGATTCTATTCGAGGGTCGAAAATAAGGTATTTCTTCTTTTTCCCCTTTACAATCTTGTCAACATACTTTTACCTATACGAATTCTTTTCTTTTTTGCCTAACATGTTATGATAGAAAATAATGCAATACTTTAGAACGAAAAGTTATGAAATAAGATCGAAAAAACATTATTATGAACAATGGCATAACTTAAGAGAATGCGGATTTATGTTTTCTTGAAGTAGGTATTCTAGTGAAAAGATTAATAAAACGATCGTTAAAGTATTAAATGTCATTAAATCATTTTTATCGTTAATTTTATACAGGAGTTTTGAATATTTGTTATTTTTTTTGTGGAATATCTAACCTTCTTGAAATGAAAATAACCAATCGTGAATACAGGTTTAGCCAGTTGTCTAGTTGTGAGTCAATGACACCAGTTGCAACGACGATTGCAAATTACCATTCGCGACTACTGGATTGAACGTAAAAGGGGTCTGACGAGTGTTCAACTATCTTATTTTTAAATCCATCATATCCTTACATTGTCGTTGTATTTAGGATCGTAAGGATCGTCACTACTATAACTTGATTATTTTATTCGTGATTTTATAAAATCGAGTTTTCGAATATTCGGATTAAAATACAATAAAGAAAAAATGTAGATATTGCGCATTCTCTTTGCAGAGAACAATGCACGTTACCGCATAGTAGGAAGATTCTTTTTGGGGTTATTTACGAGATCGTGTCCGTGAATTGAGAGTATAATTCGCCTGGGATAATCTCGATTTGTATTCAAGAAACGGAAATCGTATGAACGGGTCTGCGGTTTTCGCGACGCAAAATGTTTCATTCAAGAGTGGGATGGTGCTTCACCCAAATCGCACGGCTCCTCGTGCGAATGTGGGTCGGTATTATAATGATACGTCTTTTTCAATTCGTTTCCATGATAATACGATCTGTCTTGATGGTATATCTCTAGCGGTATCTTTAATAATTCAATGCTAACATAAGCTAAATAAGAATTTTTATGATGAATGAACATTTTCTCTCGTCTTTTTTTATTTGATAAAGATAAAATAAAATAATAATAATAGGTATTAAACTGTAGAAAATTTATGAACATGGTGATATTGGATAAGCAAAAGTATGAAACCGAGGATCGTACTTCATGATTCTTTGAGCAAGTAATGACAAGTCATGAAGGCATTACACGACTTATTTATAAACCGATTCAGACAGGTCTACCACCTGCCGTTGCGATCGAAAGAACCTGAAGTGGTCTCGAAACGTCTCAAGGACGACATGCTTCTCGCATCTCAACTCTTCTCATGCAATTTACTCGGCCGAGCAACGAGTCTTTTCTATTTTTGTTCCTCGTTATTCGATTTTCCATAGAAACCTTCGTTTTTCTGAACACTTTGGAAAGATTCCACGGATGCATTGTACGGAAGAATGAAATGAAAGAATTTCTTTTCTTTTTAAATAATAATGATTGTTACTTAATTACTTAGTTCCTGTTTTATCAATGTTTATTATCGTATCGATTGAGGATAATTTTCATTCTTACGAATAAATTAGAAAGAGAAAGAAAGTGATATAGGAAACATGCGGAAGAAACGATGGTAAAGATTTCGAATGACCTTAGAAGTCAATTTTTCTTTTTTTCTTCTTTTTTTCGAAATTCACTTCTCTAGGAAGTAATATTTTTATTCTTGTATTCTTTTTTCTTTTCTTTCGAAAGATACAAAAATGGTAATACGTATATACATTATTTGCAACGGTGCTGCAAGCATCGTTTTACCTCACAATTATTATCGATAATTGTATACTTCTCGGTTGCTCGTAACCCATGATTTACTACTTTCGTGAACCTTCCAAAAGGGAGTTTGTTATGCCGGAAGGAAAGAAGAAATTCGGCATGTACCGGACCACGATTATCACAATGATTTAATTAATGTCATACGATCCTTCATCATGCTTTTTATAAACGAAGTCGTTGACTCAAACAAAACAAAAATAAAAAAAAGATTCGTAAGTACTATCATTTTTGAAACGATTATATCTCCTTCCCCTTCGGAGTCTTCCTAACTTTTTAGTTCATTTTCATTTGACCAAGCAAGGATAATATTATAATTCGTTGCTAAAGGAACGTTATGAACGGATTGCTCACATGATAAAAGAATTTTTCTAATCTTCTAAGCCACCAATGTCAGTCACCATCACTGGAAGCAAATTTAAATGCCTTCTTCGGTACGTGCATACAGGTAGATATTTATTCACATTTTTTTCATAAATCGAAACATCGAGGTCGGTGCTCGATTATTTTTATAATCATTTTTACGAAGGAAAGTTCCATATACGAGTTACTTTGATTTCACGATAATAATCGCAGGTGAGAAGACTTGTATTTCACTCGTCGACAAGTTTTGATATTAGTTAGATGGAGAGAAAAAAGAAAATAAGGCGATAAATTTTAGTTAGATATGATAAGAAATAGAAGGAAAAAAAGTTTTTATCTTCAATATGCTCGGCCTCGAATTACATGCAATTATTGGAATCCACCACGTACTGATGCTAAAAATCTATACTATGCTTGATCGAATACGTTTCAGGAAATCTCCATTTATAGGCAGCTGCATCGACCTGTCCGCTTTAACGACATTCCCGACGAATGAAAATGGGAAAGCATTCGTGAAAAATTGAAATGTTCTTCTACGAATGTGGACAACTTGTGTACAACGAAAACAACCGAAACCGGTTTTGGGTTACGATCGTATGGAAATATTATTCGATATCGTATACCGTTATTTTATATTATTTATACAATCTCTCGATAGAATTCGATAAAAAAAATATACATTCATCAAATACGAATTCAAAAAAATTACATTTAACTTTGATCAATATTGAATAAAAATATTTTCTATTATTTTTACAATTTTTATTATAAGTTTATAAAATTAATAATGTGATCAAATTTTTTTAAATTAAAATTAACCAAATATTTGAATTGAATTAATAAGTATTTGAAAGAGTATCGATCAACCTAATGTTAGGTATTAGATCCTCGA